TTTTAGCAAATTACTATAAAATTTATATGTAATAATTGAATTTTTAGCAAATTTTTTGATTTTAGAAGTAGCAAAAACCCCAAAATTTATGCAGATTAGTTATGACCTATATTGAAGATGTCCGGGTCCTAGAAAAGTTGGTTATTGCATCTTCTTTTTAATCAAAAAACTTCAAAACTTACAAGCTAGAATTGGTGTAGATTATTTTACATAATTTTTCTAATCTAATAAAATTTTTTTCTTATTTTTTATAAAGTCTAATATAACTAAATTAGCTAAAGTAAAATGAAACAATAAAGATTATATGAATTCCAAAGCTACTAAGAAAGTGAAAAAAGAATCTAAAAAATTGGATACTATTCTTTAGAAACTTAATGCCAGAGTTATAAAAAATATAACTAAAGAATCAAATACTAATTTTAAAATACTTGAAGAAACTCTTCTAAAGTTTTTTAAGTCACAATCAAATTTCTCATTATCATCTGCATCTAAGGCAGTGTTGCAAGCCATTGCTAAACTATTATTGCAAAAAAATCAAATTTCAGAATTGCCAAAATTGTGTTTAATAATAAACTAAAAAGAGATGGTAGATTTGGTTTTGTTGATCTTATTCTTAGAGGTTTAAATCTTTTAGTAATAGAATTAAAATATATTAATCTCTTAGGTTTAGTAAACCAATGAATAATAATTAGAATTTATATTCATTCACAAATAATTTAGCCCCTCTTAATAAATATATAAAAAATAAAGATAAAAAGATATTTTTAAAACAAAAATATGTATTTTTGTTAAAAAAAGATAATAAGCCAAATCCACAATATTAAATAATATTTTATTTTCTGCAAATAATCAACTTAAAAAATATATAAATATAATCATACATGGACCAGCCCAAAATAGTAAACTGGATATTATAGATTCTCAAATCTTTATAAAATAGCAACCTAAAGATTGTAATATTTTTTTTTTTTTTTTTTTTAATGTTAAAGGTGAGACCATGCTCTTATTTTTATTAAACTTAATGAAAACTTTTTACATAATTAGAAAAGGTTTTATATCTTAAGTCTAGTACTAAAAGATTGTAATATTTTAAATGATTATGTTATTATAATGATTAGTTTTTGATACCTTGTAACTAGATTTGTTAAATCTCAAAATATTCATTTTAGTTATACTAAAAAATTAATTCTTGTTAGTTTAGTTCTATTATAATTTATTTATTTTTATTAAAATTTGAAATAAGAGTTACTAAGTTTTTGCTTTTGAAAATTAGTAAAAGATATTTGTTTTTTGATATTTTATCTAGAGATTAAAACCAGTAACTAATTATTTGAATATCAGTCAAAAATTTCAAGTATCAAAAATAAGCTTTTATTTATTGAGTTTTTAATATAGATATTATCAAGCATCAGTAAATAAATATTAAAGTTTAACTATTTTTTTTTTTTTTTTAAATCTTCGACAGTCTTGCCAGTGCTTAATTTATTGGGACTATATTTCAGGTAAGAGCTAAGCTCTCTCGAACAATACATATATCATTCATAACCAAAAAACAGAGAGTCTTGCGATTGCGAGCCTGACATCACCTGGCTACAATAAACGTGCCCAACTGTGACTTGTCGTACCAACCTGTATACAAGTTAGATAAACTTTGTTAGCCCGTCAAAGCTTTTTTCTTCATATCTCCTTTCTTTATCGAGAGCAAAAGAAAGTGATGATCTCATACAAAACCACCAATAATACCAAGAAAACAAAATGAAAATAAGACAAATAGAACAAAGAGGTGTTTTTAAAGAAAAAAAAAAGAGAGTATAATGAGATATAAAAAAAAGAAACACAAAGAGAAAAGCCTGAGAGCTGACAAAGGGGAGAACTATCTCTATAAAGAAATAGCATAGAATAAACAAAATAAAAAAACAAAACAAGAAGAAATACACTATTATAACCTGTACCAGGTTTAAGAAAAAATTTTATAACAACTGCAATATTTGTATATCTCAACTATAATATAAAACCTTTATTATCCGACTACCGGCCAACTCCGGATGCCTCTTAGACCAGAGACCTGATCCTAGTCACGTGGAGGTCCCGTATTCATAAACTACGTTGTGTATCGTATCTACCAATAAACAAGACACGTGGTTGCATTTCTGGGTACGTCCGAATTTGGGAGGTAAACAATGCCGATCTTTTGAAGGGGGTAAGCCAAATCACCTACTTTTTGTTAAAAATTTTGGAGAAGACTGACAGGACCAAGAGAGACTTAAAGAAGGGACCACTAGCACCCAAAGAGAGTATTTTATTCTTGAAAGAACTGACAACTAGTAACCCTTTTTCTAGGAAAGGGGAGGAGCTACTGTATTTAAATAGTGAGTGATAAACTCTAAACTTGTCAACAAGTAGTATATAAGAACTACTTCTAAACGACAAGTGCTATGCCAGTGGTGAGTGATAAACTCTGAAGAAGTTAGCAGGTAGCGTATGAAAACTACCTCTAAATAACAACTGCCAACTTATGGATTCCAGTTTTACGCTCTCCATAACTTACTAGTTACTGTTTTTACAAAAATTGTTTGGGAAATTTTGGTTTTAGTGATCATCAGAAAGAGTGTTGATATATATTTGATTAAATTGAAAATTTAACTATTTGTTTTATTAATAATAGTATAATGATATATTTTTTGATTGAAATTTAACTTTAATGATAATAATATGATTATACCATAAAGTCCCGAATATAAGAAACCCCTGAAAATAAACAACCTTCTAGATTTTACTGCTAAAATATAAAAAAAATAAAATAAGCAACTCTTTTTTTAAAAATTACTAAATATAATAAAATTTATTATACATAATATTAATCTTTATTAAAATTTTATTAATATTCGATTACAATATAACAAAATTATTTTAATCTTCTAATTCTAATTTTTCAGCAGACAAACTATCTTCATTTACTATTTTAAGTGAATCTTCATTATTATCTAAATCACTATTCTTTTTATCTGAATCATATAACAAATCATCTTCTGTTCTATCCAATTCATTTGAAATATTATACTTTTTAAATGATTTAATAATCATCTTTGCAGAAATATTATTCCAGGTTTCTAAAATCTATTGACAAATTAAACCATACAATGGTCGTTTTAAATTTCCATATTTAATCAACTCAAATTTACTATTACTTATCCATAAACACTACTTTTTCTTTAATCTATCTTTGAATAGTTTATTAATACTTACATCCAAAGGTTGTACAATTGATATTAAATCCCAAAAATAATAATTTTATGAATATTATTATTAGCACATATATGTTTTATCATATTTGTTTGGTGTCTTTCAAATGAATCTATAACAAGCAGAAACAAAGGCTTGTTTACGATTGATACTTCTAGCCACTTGTTCCAAACTTTATTAATTCATTCACACATTAAGTTTTCGTCCATCCAAGCATTTTCATGTATATGTACAATAATTCTATAAGAAAGATTACAAGAAATTCGTATACTCTTAAAAATTACTATAGGAGAAGTTTTTTTACCACTTGCTATAATTGCTAAAACACAGGTAAACCAGTTTTTTTCATTTTCAGTTGTTCTACTTTGAACAGTTTTTACACCCTTTTAATTAATCATATAAAAACCTGCTATGTCAAAATATACTGGTATTTCATCCATGTTTACAATTTGAAAAAGATCATACTGATATTTTAACCGGGATCAAATTACAAATTTATGAAATTTAATAACTTTTTCAGTAAGATCTTTAGATAACTTCTGGCTAATTTTAGTATAACGACAAAGAAAAAAGTGATGTTGCTTTAAAAATTGGTAAAACCAGGACTTAAAAGCATGAAATTGTTGAGAAGCATCTGGGTATTTATTAGCACAAGTTGTTGATAAGATCATAATCATTTGTACTTTAATAGAACCTGCTATAACTGCAATTTCCATTTGGCAAAGCTCACTTAATTGGTGATTCACTAGTTAACCAGAGAATGATCATAGTAAAATATGACTTAAATTACTTATAAAAATTGGGGGACTTCAAATATGGTATGCATGCATCTAAAACTTTTTTTATACTAAGTTAATTACTTTTCTAACTTAAGAGACTTTTGTAGAGCTTGTCAAGA